GCAGCGCCGGGGAAGGGTCGGGGCAGGGCCGGGGCAGGGCCGGGACAGGGCCGGGGCAGAGCCGCGACAGGGCCGCAACAGGGCCGGGGCAGGGCCGCGACAGGTCCGGGACAGGGCCGCGACAGGGTCGGGGCAGGGCTGCGACAGGCCGGAACAGGGCCGCGACAGGGCCGAGGCCGGGCCGCGACAGGGCTGCGACGAGCGACGGGGCAGGGCCAGGGCAGCGCCGGGCGACGGGGTGACGGGCAGGGCCGGGCCGGGACGACGGGGCGACGGGCTGGGCCGGGCCGAGGTGACGGGGCGCCGGGCGACGGGGCGACGGGCCGGGCCGCGACGCGGCGGCTTCGGGCGACGGGGCAGGGCCGGGGCGGGGTCGCAACGGGGCCTCGAAGGGGGCCGCTAATGGGCCGCAAAGGGGGCCGCGTAGGGCAGGACAGGCCGCTAGGGGGCCGCGAAGATCGAGGGTAGGGCAGAGCGCGAAGCGCGCTTCGGGCAGGTGGGAATTTTTTTTTTTTGACGGTGGGCCCTTAGGAAGGAACGGTCCCGATAGGGAACCCGCTCTATACCATGTGAAGAAACAAGAATGATTGACTAGGAAATGAGTTGGGTACAAATATGAAACCCTAGAAAACTGTACCCCATAGTGTCTACCCCACTACAGCCTAGATAGGCTATGTGATTAATGTTTGACACAAACCACTCCGGAGCGTTGAAAAGGGTTGTGCGTTCCGAGGAGTTAATATTCTCTCCCCGCAGCACAGTGTTAAGGCTCTCCATTTCCCACAGGTGAAGCCAACATAGTTGCAAAGGCTTAGGGGAAGGTTCCAGGCCTAGGAGAAACTGAATCGGCCTCGGATAAAACCTTCTAACCCTGCTCAGCTGAAAACTGATATTGAGTCAGCGAATCGAGCGCAGGACCTAGGGATGATATATTCGGCGTATCCTATGATCCTATAAGCGAGACCATCTACGACTTCTCGAAGCGGCAACAACCACTACTGCTCGAGGTTCTCTGCAAAGGGCGACGCCTCAAGGCACTGGTGGACAGCGGTGCGTCCCACACAGTGTGTGACCGCGGGACGTTGGAGAAGATTGAAGAGAAGGCGGAAGAGACCCGATTTTCAGCAACGATGGTGGACGGTACGAAACTTCCCATCCACGGCGAACCATCACTGCAGCTGCACATAGGGGCGCTGAGGGGGAAGCCGACGTTGCCGATCACGAACATCAAGGGTTTAGATTTCATCTTGGGGCGAGATTTCTTGAAGCGGTTCAACCCCGAGATCGTTTGGGTCAATCGGAAGGCGTGCATCTACAACGACGGGAAACGAGTGGAGCTGAGAAGCTGGACGGATACAAGGAACGTTCCTGAAATGAAACTGGCACAGTTTGAACGGATGGTGAACGAGAGTAACACGGGTTACCTAGCATTGATGATGGCAGCAGCAGAGGAGGAGAAGCCGAACGCAGAGCTACCTGCAGCAGTGAAGGAGGTGTTGGAGCAGTACAAAGACATCATGCCAGACGACCTACTTGCAGGAGTACCTCCAGCACGCACCCATGAGCACGAGATCGTGGAGGAACCAGGTGCGAAACCCGTCTCACGTGCACCATACCACCTTAGTCCGACCGAACTGACAAACATGAAGAAGCAGATAGAGTATCTACTGGACAGACAACTGATCCGCCCATCCACCTCACCCTACGGTGCACCAGTTCTCTTCACTCCAAAGCCGGACGGTAGTTTACGACTGTGCATCGACTACCGCGCATTGAACAGACAGTAAACAACAAATACCCCATACCGCGCATAAACGATCTTCTAGACCAACTGCGTGGTGCAACGGTGTTTTCGAAGCTGGACCTACAGTCGGGTTACTGGCGGATCAAGATGGCTGACAACTCGATCAACAAGACGGCGTTCCGTACCAGATATGACTCCTACGAATATCTAGTGATGCCGTTCGAACTTTGCAACGCACCAACAACATTCTAGGCAGAGATGAATCATATCCTACAGCCCCTGTTGGACAAATGCGTGGTGCTGTACCTGGACGACATCCTGATATACTCCAAAAATATGAAGGAGCACGTGGAGCATCTGCGGAAAGTCTTCGAGATCCTGTGGGAGAACAAGTTATATGTGAAGTTGTCGAAGAGCGACTTCGCCCGGAAGAAGGTGCAGTTTCTCGGGCACATGTTGTGTCGAGGGTGTCCACGTGGATCCGCGGAAAATCGAAGCCGTCAAGAAGTGGAAAGTACCGGAGAACGTGAAGGAGTTGCAGCAGTTCCTAGGCTTCGCCAACTACTACAACAGGTTCGTGTTGCAGTAGTTGGCGAAGATAGCAGTGCCACTGACCAGCCTACTGAAAAAGGATACGCCCTACAAATGGGATACTCCTTATCAGGAAGCCATGGAGGATCTACAGACAGCACTGACCACAGCACCAGTACTCATCCTACCGGATCCGTCAAAGACTACGTGGTGGAAGCAGACGCTAGTGACCAGGCAGTCGGAGCAGTACTGATGCAGGATCACGGACGTGGTTTGCAGCCCATTGCCTACCTCAGTAAGAAGTTACACGGAGTAGAACTGAGCTACCCCATCCATGACAAGGAAACCTTAGCGATAGTCATAGCCTTCAAGGCGTGGAGGTGTTACCTAGAGGGAGCCAAGACTACAGTATATACCGACCACTGCAGTCTCAAATACCGAAGTCGCAGACGACGCTCTCACGCCAACAGGTGTGGTGGGTGGACTTCCTGGAAACTCCCTTCCACTACGACATCGTCTACAATCCCGGGCTACACAACAAAGCAGACGTGTTGAGCCGCCCCGGTCATATAGCAGGCATCCAGCTCGACGGGATGAACCCTCTGCTCAAGGGTCTATTCCAACATAGGTACTCCGTGGACGCAGAGATTGCTACGATAGAGAAACAGAAGATGTTACAGTGGGAGAAAGACTTAGCTGTAAGGAAGGGTTCAAGGAAGATTTGGGTACCGAACTATGCCCCGCTACGACAAATCCTACTGGAGGAGTTTCACGACATACCATACGCGGGACATTTCGGGAGCAACACGACGTTACCAGGGATAGCGAAGTATTACTACCGGCCCCGGATGGCAGCAGACGTGCAGTAGTTCGTCACCTCATGCGACAAGTGTCAGCGGATGAAGAGTAGCAAGCAGAAAAAAGCAGGGTTACTCCAGCCTCTACCCGTACCGGAGCAGCCATGGCAGGTCGTTAGCCTTGACTTCATGACGGGACTTCCTTCGACCTCACGAGGGCATGATGCTATACTTGTGGTGATTGACAAGTTCTTTAAAATGAGGCATTTCATCCCGACCAACGCCACGGCAACAGCTGAAGCAACTGCTCGCCTATTCTTCGACCACATCATCACCATCCACGGCATCCCCGCTACACTCATCTCAGACAGATACCCAAAGTTCACTAGCAAGTTATGGAGGGAACTCATGGGACTGTTGGGGACAAAGCTTGCAATGTGTTAAGCGTACCACCCCAAGACTGACAGACAGACAGAGCGACTCAATCAGGCGGTTGAACAGTTACTGCGAACAGCTTGCAAAGACGAGGCCAACCACTGGGATCAACAGTTACCGACCCTAGAGTTCGCTTACAACCACGCGTCACATGCGGCCACAGGGAAATCTCCTTTCTTCCTGTGCTACGGACGGGAACCACTTACACCACAGCAGCCAACCACACCGGCACACGTCCAAGCCACACATGACTTTGTCACCACCATGGAGCAGCTATGGGAGAAGATGCAGCGGCGTCTCACCATGATGCAGAACTCCCAGAAGCACTATGCCGATCGCCAACAACGTGATCACACAGTAGCAGTCAAAGATCAGGTGCTCCTCGAAACGCACAACTTGAACCTGTCTCACCTACCATCCAAGCTCCGGCCTCGCTTCTATGGTCCCTTTCACGTTGAGGCACAGGTGACACCAGTAACATTCCGCTTGCGCTTATCTACTACGTGGAAGCTTCACAATGCTTTCCATGTTCAGCTACTGAAGCCCTACAAGGACGGCAGCTACCGCCACCACCACCTGTTCTCATACAGGATGAACCAGAGTACAAAGTGGAGCGCGTTCTCACTCAACGGCACCGCGGCGGCAAGACCCTCGAGTTCCTGATACGCTGGAAGGGTTGTGACCCCACAGAGGACAGTTGGGTTGTAGAAGCTGATATGGGCAACACACTGTCAGAGGTCCACTGGTGATCCCTGATTGAACATAGGGAAGGGTTACAGGCTCGTTGTCCTGGGGGGTTATGGGCGCACTGACCCGCTATTAACAAGCCCTTTTATCCCAATGGTCTAGTGGTTGGGATTCTGACATGGTATCAGAGCGAAGGTCTCGGGTTGGAATCCCAGTGTGTGCACTTCGGGCATCCCAGTGTGGGGGGGTGTCAGAGGTCCACTGGTGATCCCCGTTTGATCCTCGGGAAGGGTTACAGGCTCATTGTCCTGGGGGGTTATGAGCGCACGGACCCGCTACTTAACAAGCCCTTTTATCCCAATGGTCTAGTGGTTGGGATTCTGACACACACGCCGTGCTCTCAAGGACTATCTTGTCAAACAGGGTGTATCTCATGCCACCCAGCTTTGAGGGGGGGACGTGTGAGAGTACGACGGCTTATGCTTGCTTTGCTAGCTTGCCTTGCCTTTATTATGCTATTTCTAGCTTAGGTTAATTTTATAATGCATAGATATGCTTAATTTTCTAGGTAAGGTGCATTCCTATATTCTACTATAGTTATACCATCGAACACGGTTACGTGTACCAAACTCAAGCCTTTCGGTTCCCACCGAATTGCTTTCTACCGAGTTCGGGAAGGTTCTGTTCGGGACACTTCCCGACCCTCAGAACATTCGCGGAACATCTGGGTTACCTGCCTTGTGTCGAGACAATATATAGCCTCGTGTTGTACCCATGTGAATCAATCGATCTTCATTCTTCAATTCTCAACTCGATCCTGGATCCTCACAGTAATGCGCCTTGAAGGCAGGCGGAGATCCCGGCGGCCGCTTCACTCTGGAAATCCACATGCCATCGACTATGTTCGCCCCAGGAGGGGGAACCTTGTATACGTAGGTGCCTGTGGACTTCCAGGAAGCCACCTCTACATCCATGGCTGTCTGCCACTGGGAGGAGTACTCACCCGTGATCGCCTCTGCGGAAGAGCTCAAGGTGGGGATGTCCAGTGCATCCGGGTCTCCCTCAGGGCAAAACAGCATGGATGCAAAACGGGGTAAAACGGCCGCGAGACACTCGAGCTCAAACTGTCTGTCTTCAAGGACGTCACAGCCAAGGGCAAGCTCACCCCCAACAAACAAAGGAGAGACAGACTCAGATTCAGTAACAAGACTTGCGTCGTAGTCGAGACGACGGGTAGCAGCAAAGTCGACTAGCTCATTGACTAGGGCAGACGCAGCAGTAGACTCAAAGGAAGGGTTAGTGACAACAGTTGCGAGGAGACGAGTGACAGTAGGACTAGCAGCACGAGCAAGGTCGGACTCAGGTTCAGGAACGTTATGAAGAGAGGATGCCAGAGCAGACGGCAGAGCAACACGCTGTGGAACAGAGGAAGGACGAAGTGCCATAGTGTGCGTGGATGGGACAGGTGGAGAACGAGAACGACGAGCACGACTGACAGTGCGAACAGGGGAGGCAGGATGAGACTCAGGCTCACGACGCTTTGCCAGGGAGCCTGTCTGTGCAGGGTAGGGAGAAGGAGCAGGCAGTGGAGAGCCAGGAAGTAACTGCGGCTGTGACTGGTCAGGCGAAGGATACAAGAGAGGCGGAGTAAAGCCAGTGGAAGACGGAAGACTAAGAACCTGACAAAGTGCCGAGTCAGGAGGTGGTAGGGACGACTGTGGCTACAGGTAAAAAAACAGTCGGCGCGGCGCAGTACCCGTACCGTCAGCAACTCCAGCACCTCCAGCACCTCCAGCTCCAACACCTCCAGTACCTCCAGCTCCAGCATCTCCAGCACCTATAGCACCAGTAGCTCCAGTATCTCCAGTACCTCCAGCACCAACAGCTCCAGTACCTCCAGCACCTCCGGCTCTAGCACCTCCAGGACCTCCAGTACCTCCAGCACCAGCAGCTCCGGCACCTCCAGCACAAGCAGCTCCAGCACCTCCAGCACCAGCAGCTCCAGTACCTCCAGCACCAGCAGCTCCAGTACCTCCAGCACCTCCAGCTCTAGCACCTCTAGCACCTCTAGCACCAGCAGCTCCAACACCTCCAGCACCAGCAGTTGCAGCACCTCCAGCACCAGCAGCTCCAGCACCTCCAGCACCAGCAGCTCCAGTACCTCCAGCACTAGCAGCTCCAGTACCTCCAGCACCTCCATCTCTAGCACCTCCAGCACCAGCAGCTCCAGCACCTCCAGCACCAGCAGCTGCAGCACCTCCAGCACCAGCAGCTCCAGCACCTCCACCACCAGCAACTCCAATACCTCCAGCACCTCAAGCACTTGTACTCCAAGCTCCAGGAACCCGGCCCCGCCGAACAACCCAGTCGCGAAGCTGCTCTGGCGAGAGAGTCTCCTGGCGACAAGACTGTCGCTGCTGTCCAGTACCTCCAGCACCATAACCTCCACCACCAGGACGGCCTCGCCGAATAACCCACTCGGGAAGCTGCTGCGGCGATAGAGTCTCCGGCTGACGCTGCTGCTGCTGTCGACACCCAGACGCTGCTACGACCGTGATAGTGGCCATGACAGGCAGTGGCAGTTAGTAGCAGCGGCACAAGGGCGTCAGAAGCGACTGCTGTAGCTGCAGCTGTAGCAGTAGCGGTAGTTGCTGTAGTGGCAGGGCAGCGCACGGGCTGCAGGGCAGGGCAGCGCGAGCAAGGCAGCGCGCGGGCTGCAGGGCTGTGCGAGCAAGGCAGCGCGCGGGCTGCAGGGCGTGCGGGCAGCCGGCCAGGGCAGCGCGTGGGTTGCAGGGCAGGGCAACGCACTGGCTGCAGGGCAGGGCGGCGCGTGGGCTACAGGGCGTGCGAGAAGCAGGGCAGGGCGGCGCACGGGCTGCAGGGTAGGGCAGGGCAGCGCGCGGGCTGCAGGGCAGGGCAGCGCGCGGGCTGCAGGGCAGGGCGGCGCGCGGGCTGTAGGGCAAGGCGGCGCGTGGGCTGCAGGGCAGGGCGGCGCGTGGGCTGCAGGACAGGACGGCGCGCGGGCTGCAGGGCAGGGCGGCGAGCGGGCTGCAGGGGAGGGCGGCGCGCCAGCCGTAGGGCAGGGCGGCATGCAGGCAGAGTGCAGGGCAGGGCAGAGCGCGAGCAGGGCAGCGTGCGAGTCGCGCGCTAGGCAGCAAACGGGCAGCGCGACGGGCAGGGCAGAGCGCGTGGGGCAGCGCAGGCAGGGCAGCGTGAGGAACGCTGTTTGGACAGGGCAGTACGGGTAGTTCGGGCAGGACTAAACTAGTGGTGGGCCCTAACGGAGCGGTCCTATGGAGGATGGACCCACTCTGATACCATGTCAGAAATAGTACGTAGGAATGATTGACTAGGAAGCAAGGATGAGTACAAGTATATGGGTTGACCTAAAGTGTTGTACCCCTTAGAGTATGCCCCACTACAGCCTAGAGATAAAAAATGCAATTTGACACAAGGCGTTCAGGGAGGCTAGTGACGATGAAGTGAATAGTGATCGCCATGGGCGGCGGGAGTAATGCAAGCTCAGCCTCAGTACAAGCAGCATGGTAGTTGACGTCAAGCGAGCGTAGGTGGGTGACAAGGTTAGCGGTGCGGTCAACGCTCCTAGGTCGGGAAACAAAAACGGCATGAAGAGGCGACCAAGAGAGGCAGAAGAGGGAGTGGAATAACGGGTCTTAATCGCAGCGAACAAGTCCTTGGCAGGTCGAACCTGGGTGAAGTGAGCCTCCTTTGACTCAAAGAGAAGGATTTCGAGAGAAATGCGGGCCGCCGCGTCACGAGACTGCCACACCGACAGCTCTGGACAGGCCCTGTCAGCGCGCTCCCGGTCTGCATCACTAGGCTCGTCAGGCAGGGCAGGAGGGGGCGGAGGCAAAGGCAGGTCACCGGAGGCGTGCGCCCAGAGCGAATCATTATCCTGACGCAGACTCAAGAGGTACCGCTCGGTGCGGAGGAAACAGGTGGGAAAATTTAGGGCTCTACCTCCACATAAAAACGCTGGACCTGAGTGGACGCCATGGTGAGAGGGCTACCAGTCTAGCAAAGCTAGGAGCGGCCGGAGGTAGAAACGAACGAAGGGTGTACGACACCAGAAGAAACTGGTCTAGGAACGGCTGGAGCGAGTACCGAACTAAGCGAGAGGGCTAGGAGTAGCCGAGACGAACAACGAAACGTGGTCTGAGGGCTAGTCTAGGAACCGGTGATGCGAGTGACGAACGAGGCCAGAAGGACTAGCCGAGGAACCAGCGAGAGGTAAACCCTAGGTCGCGGTCTGGAGAGTCAACTGCGGCTGCCAGTGTTAGAGACTAAGGACGGAGTCTATGAAGATTAGGGGACGAAATATCTCAAAATCGTCAACTATAATTCTGGACAGAAATGGCGTCGTCACAAGAAACGTCGTCGACCAAACATGCACTGTTAGAATTCTCTCAAACTTGAGTATAATGTAGCCCTTAACTGTGGCTATATTTTCCAATTCGAATCGTATCAAAACATGGAGTATAACTCGAGTTATGAATTTCGGCGCACTAGTGGGTATGCTGCCATAGAAACTTAACTCAATCACAATGATCTCACAAGTTCACACAAGGAATTTGAAGTAGCAATAATCCAGGTAGGAGAGGATGAGGAGGACTCAGAAAATCCAAACCACACCAAACACACATTCTTTCACACACCACGCATGCAACGCACGAACATATGATGGGAGGCAGACAGACGTGAATGCAAATGATAGCTGTGAAGAAATGAGAATGATTGACTAGGAAATGAGTTGGGTACAAATATAAAACCCTAGGAAACTGTACCCCATAGTGTCTACCCCACTACAGCCTACACAGGCTATGTGATTAATGTTTGACACACCCCCATAGGCAAAGTGGGGGAGAACAAGGGGTCACAAGACCAGCCAAGCAAAGCAAAGCAAAACAAGCTCAGGGTGGATCACAACGTCACCACACATTCCGAGCACAGGTTCAAAGGCCACAAGGCCAGTTCACATGCAGGATTATATATAAAAGGTAAACAAGCATGTGCAGGTATATATATACATCACAGTACAAGTAAAGTCAAGAGGCAAGCAAGTGGGGCCAAGTAGGCACAAGACCTAGCATAGTACAGAAGCGCTGATGATCACAAGGCTGAAGTGCCTTGGTGAAGATATCAGCAGTGTTGGCCTGAGAGGCCACGTAAGCAAGGCGTAGCTGACCACGCTGCTGCAGCTCACGAGCAAGGAAGTAGCGAAGAGCAATGTGCTTCGTTCTGTGCTCCAGTCTGTGCTCCCGACACAAGGCCAGCATGGCCTTGTTGTCTACGTACAGAACAGGAGGAGAACGAGGCGGCTCTCCCAAGTCAGTCAGCAGGTAGGTGAGCCAGCATAACTCCTGTGCAGCCATGGCCCCTGCGTAGATCTCAGCCTCACAGCTGGAGCTGAGAACAGAAGACGAGCGGGTAGACCGCCACGAAACAGAACCGGAACCAAGGCTGAAGGTGTAACCCTGTGACGACCGCTGAGTAGCCAGGTCGTCAACCCAAGACGCGTCTGCGTGACCAGTGAGGACCACTGGACTCCGCCCTCCAAGCACGAGCCCCATGCCCGACGTACTGCACAAGTAGCGCAACACCCTCTTCGCGGCCGCCATGTGCTCTGGTCGGTGTCTGCCAGGAGCAACATAGCGTGCCAAGATGCTAAGAGGGTATGCCAGGTCAGGTCGAGTGCAGGTCATCAGGTACATGAGGCAGCCAACAAGCTCTGGGTACGGGCCACTTGGCTCTACGGACTCATCCGAAGGCAGAGCTGAGAGCGAGTGGCGAGTAGACAGAGGAGTGGCCTGAGGCAAGGAGTACGTGAAGTCGAAGCGCTGAAGGACCTGCTGCACCATGTGTGACTGAGTCAGGGTAATGGTGCGCCGTGCTCTGTCCCGGGTGATCTGCAAGCCAAGATAGCTGCGCATTTCACCCAGGTCTGTGCACGTGTGTCTCTTCTGCAGCTCGGACTTCACGTGGGCGAGTCCAGCAGTGTCAGCCGTAGCAAACACCAAGTCGTCGACGTACACGAGGATGTAGAACGGCGGCATCAAAGTGTCGGTGCGAAGAAACAGCGTTGGGTCAGCGGTAGAAGGAGCAAACCAAAGAGCCGCAAGAGTAGTCCTCAGTGTGTCGTGCCACTCACGGGGCGCCTGGCGGAGACCGTAGACTGGCCGCCGGAGGCTCCACTGGGTACCAGTAGGAAACGACCCAGTGAAGCCAGGTGGGCGGCGCAGCCAGATCTCCTCGTGCAGGCTGCCCTGTAGGAAAGCAGTGCTGAAGTCAAGGGAGTGAAGCTCGTAGTCACGCTGAGCAGCGACGTGCAGCAGAACCCGAAGAGTGGTCATCTTCGGGGTCGGGGAGAAGGTCTGAAAGTTGTCAACTCCCTGCCGGTGACTGAAGCCTCGAGCCACGTAACGCGCCTTGAAGACAGGCGGAGAACCCGGCGGCCGCTTCACCCTGAAAATCCACATGCCACTGACGATGTTCGCCCCAGGTGGGGGAACCTCGTCGACGTAGGTGCCTGTGGACTTCCAGGAAGCCATCTCTGCGTCCATGGCTGACTGCCACTGAGAGGAGTAGGGACCCTCTATCGCCTCTGCGTAAGAGCGCGGGGTCGGGATGTCTGGTGCATCCGGGTCTCCCTCAGGGGCAAGCAGCATGGACACGAGATGAGGTAAAGCAGCAGCAAAACACTGGAACTCCTCCTGCCTGTCCTCAAGGACGTCCGTGCTAAGAGCACACTCACCCCCGACGGACGGAGGACAGACAGATTCAGACTCAGCAACAAGACTAGCGGCGTAGTCTAGACGACAGTGAGCAGCGAAGTCGACAAGCTCGGCAACTAAGGCAGACGCAGCAGTGGACTCAAAGGAAGGGTCAGTGACAACAGTGGCTAGGAAACGCGTGAAAGTAGGACTGGCAGCACGAAGGGAGTCAGACTCTGGGTCAGCAAGAGCAGGAAGAGAGGACTCTGGAGGAGACGGCAAAGGGACACGCTGCGGCGCAGTGGAAGGACGCAGTGCCATCTGATGCGTGCCAGGGACCGCAGGAGGACGCTGACGAGGAGCACGACGACTAGTGCGAGCAGCACGAACAGGGGACGCAGGACGCGACTCAGGCTCACGACGCTCAGCAAGACCTCCAGTAGGACCAGCGTACGGAGAAGGAGCAGGCAGTGGGGAGGCCAGCTGTAACTGTGACTCGGACTGGACAGGCAGTGGACACTCTAAGGAAGGAGCAGGACCA